AGAACAAGTCAATTATTATTTCCATTGTTTTGGTTAAATTTTTAACTATAGTGCGTTGAATGTACAAGATTCCATCAGAGAGAGGCCATAAAAGTACGAGCACAACGCACCAGCGCGTGCGTGAAGCGGTTAGGGACCTTAAGATACTCTGGACGCGGCCGAGGAGGACGTCAACCGGAAGTGAAATGTTCAATTCTTGGAACTAATTACCAGGAATTAAGTCCTTTGTACTTTCTTCATGTTACAAGCAAGTTGAACTACTAAATGCCACGATTTTATTTACAAAACATAGCTCTCTGAAGTGAATAACTGTTTTAATTTATAGTTTTCCCTTGAAATTCTGAAATAAATGCTTAACGGTGACCTTAATACCTTAGCTCACAAAACGACTTCTAATTCGTATTTTTTAGGTCGACACGAGTTTTTTTTTTATTAACCTTAGACAATCTGTCATACTATATTCCCGATGAATCCACTTGCTCAATTCCTTGCAAAAAAAGGTTCTATTATTCAAGACCATGTAAATTTAATAATCACTTGCTCCTCTAAGTTTCTTCGAGGTAATTAAAATATCTTTCTGCGACGTTTAAGAGACTTAATGCAAAGACAATCATGTTAACGAACTTCTAAATTGGAATTATGTTTTATTTGTACAGTTGGTTTATGAACTCACCTTTTTAGTGTCCTTCAGGGAACGATCTTGTAAGCACCAGACTACTCGCGATCGGTACCTGTGCAATGGCCCTCTTGAAGCTACAAATGGGCTAACAAATGTAATAAAGCCCTCAAATGTAATAAAAAATGACCTCAAATGACTTTCTCTCAATGATCATAAGCGATTTTCCGAATTAATCTTAATCTGTCAGTCATACCACAGGGTTACCAGTAGGGATTAGGATTTTGGCAATCATATTTTGTTTATCATTTTTGTGTACTAAGGTAAAGTTGCTTGTATGTACAGTATGTGGCATCATAATTACAAGAAGAGTGTGATAAAAGCCGGCAATGCAAAAAGAAAAAATATATATATATAAAAGTAACGGTGCTACAGTTTAAGTTAAGAGATCCCTGACAGTTGCCAATCTTTGAGTTTTGGTTCGCAAATTGTGACTAATTGAATTTAAGAGACGTTTCCATTGGTCAGTTTGTTCAATGGCGGGAATTCATGCTACTGAACGTTCAGCACACTTCGAAGTCCAAAAACTGATAAAACACATATAACAAAGACGTCTGACGAGACCCATAACCATTGTACTCTATGAGCTATGGTTAAATTTCACGTGTCAGTCACATCGTATGAACAATCCTCAAGTTTACACAACAAGTATTATCCTACACGGAATCAGGGTACCGTTGTAGCTGTCATCATGCTGAAACAAAAATCATTCTTTCATAGTTTATTATGATGTAACTTGAGCACTTTAATTAATTCAAACAAAGGTCTGCGATAATACAAACTAGAAGTTCTGTCTATCTACGTCCACATGGGACGGTTATCATTGCCCAGCATAGCTTCTTGCAAAAGAACAGCTGCAACAACAAAACAACAGCGATAGGTTTTTCAGTTGATCAACCCGCAGCCGAGGCGAGCCCAATAATTAAGAGGAGCAAGAGTGACAACTGCAATAACAACGTTGGAAAGCTCTACACAAATCTAGAACTCAGCAAATTCCTTAACAACACATTATTATATGATATGATTTATGAGCTGACAAAGCGAAAGGCGTCAAAGAAGCCTCTGGGTTTGATTCTCCTTGCTGTATTTGCTTTTCTACCAAAACAGTGGGCGCCTTTGTGAGTTGGCCTCTGAATTGTTAAGAATAAGGAAACTCAGAAATCCTGTTTGTTCAATTAAAACCTCTTTTTTGTTAAAAAACAAAACGATTGAAATGAATGACAAAAAAGAGTAATCTGGTTTACCGGTTTTACATAGGGTACGTACCCCGAATTACAGTATTGTCTGAAAATATGTACAGTAGAACCCCGATAACTCGAACTCCCCGCCAACTCGCACTGAGTCCAATTTCCCTTGGATTTCACCCCACTTCCCAGTCATTTTTACTGGGTTAACTCGAACTCGGATAACTCGAATTCCCCGCTAACTCGAACTAAATTTCCTTTCCCTTGATCAAAAAGTCACTGAAATTTATCCCAGTAACTCGAATGCTGGTTCTTTTAACTCCACTCGGATCCCATCCCATTTGCTCTTCTTATTGTAAAAGGGTAAAAATTAAACACTTAAAGTAAAACGAACAGATCACGTTTTATCTAAAAATGCCTGATCATGTTACCTTTTCTGATGAAATAAGTAAATTTGCACCGAACCATACGCTGAAATGGCGAATTGAATTTTTCGGTCGACCCCGATAACTCAAACCCCCGCTAACTCGAACTGTTTTTCGTTTCCCTTCAGAGTTCGACTTATCGGGGTTCTACTGTTTTTCCATTGGACCGTACTAAAAAAAAACAAAAATATTATCAATAATTTGTATGGGACTTTGTGAAAATTATAAAAATTTATTCCCAGGAAGAAAAATCAGTCAGTCCTAATCGTAAAAATTAGTTTCCTCTAAACACAAAAAAATCGCCGATCCGCAAAAATAAACTCTCGCAAAAATTTCGTGTCTCAAGGTAAGTTAAATCTCGGTGCACAAGCGATTTCGGGAAATCGCTCATAACGATCGTAGTAAAATCTCTTCTAATTACGTTTTCGAATATGGTTTTTATTTCAAGCTATTACATTTGTGGTCAACATTTGAGAGCTTTATTACATTTTTTATCAAATCATCGGCCGCCTTTGGACTTATTATAATTGCACTTGTCACCAGTTAATAAATTTGTTATTTTCCTCGGCCCAATTGGAAATCTGTCAATCAAACGACTTCCAATAAATCCTTTTTATTGCCTAAAATAGACCTTGTATATTTAAAACTTCTATATATATTTTTTTCTCGATATAAGTCATCAGATGTTTCAATTACTTGACGGGTGGCCCGACTAGCTGTTTACCCCTGGCAAACGACAAACGTGAATTTGTACCACGTGACGAAGTTTTCCATTTACTTGTCTTTCACTGTTCCGTAGTTGTACAAAAAATGATCAGTTTCACATTATTATAATCCATAGGAATTGTCTGGGACTGTTTTCATTAGCTTCTTTTCTATTTTGAGATATTCTCAACTTGCCGTTTGCCGTAACCATAACTCTAAATCTCTTTGTTCTGAAAGCATGCGCGAGCGCTGTTTCAGACAAGCACACGCGAGCGCTGTTGGCTCAAGGAAAGTAACCCTTCATTCACGTTTGCAGAAAATTCACAAAAAAATATGTCTACAAATTTTCCCCTTATCAGCTACTCGCAAACGATGATTTTGGATTTTCCTCTAGTTAGCGATCAGTGACTATAAATTAACAATGCTTCATACATTTTCGAATTGCAATGCTTATATCTCTTTAACAACAAGCTTAGCGTTCAATTTCGCATTCAACACATCTGTGATCGTCAAAAGAAAGTCTTTCTCTTTGAGTCTTTGGCAACTGCCAGGATTAGGAGAGAAAAGAATTTCGCCGGTTTCTGCACGACCATGCGATGCAACGTTTACCAAAGAAACTGAGTTTAGTCTGCTTAACGCTTCATCTTTTGAAGCGTTTTTCCAGTGAGAGGCTCGATGTGTAGTATTTTTCCCATCATTTTTACTTCATCTTCGGCACCCGGGAGCTGCTTTAATTTTTTACCCTTGACGCGTAAAGTTTCCACCCATGGATTACTAACGAGCAGTACACCAGACGCACTATGGCGCTCTGAGGAACACTCCGCCAGGCAGCCTTAAGCTGGTTAAAGAAGTAGCCAACCGAATTCTAAGACTGTAGTGATAGAATTCGATTGCTTTTTTAAAATCACATTTACACCTATAGGCATTACCAAGACTACTTTATATAGTTCTCGTAATAACTGTTTTATATTGTCCTCGAAATTCGGGAATAAATGCTTGACGGTGACCTTAATAGAGTCACAAAATGACTTTTATGTTAGTACTTTTAAATCGACATTACAGTTGTTTATTTTTTATTAACCCTAGACCATCTGTCATACCATTTTCCGATGAATCTACTTGTACATTCAGGTCCTTGCAAGAGAGGTTCTATTATTTAAGACCCACGTGCAAATTTATAAATCACTTGATCCAAATTTTGTTCGAGGCAACTAAAATACCTTTTTGCCATGTTTTAAGTGACTCAATAGAAAGACAATGTTAACGAACTTCTAAATTGGAATATCTATTATGTTTTATTTGGACAGTTTGTATATCAACTCACCTTTTTAGTGTCCTCCAAGGTACGATCTTGTAAGCACCACACTACTCGGTACCTGTGCAATGGCCTTGTTAAATCTACAAATGGTGTTCCAAATGTAATAAACCCCTAAAATATATTTAAAAAGACCTCAAATGACTTTCTCTCAATGGTCATTAGGGATTTTCCGAATTAATTTGCACATGCGTCTGTCATTCGTTACACAGGGTTACCAGTAAGGATTAGGATTAAGGCAATCGTATTTCGTCTATCATGATTGTGTACTAAGATAAAGTTGGTTGTATTGATGGTAAGTTGTATCATAATTAGAAGAGTGTGGTTATAAAAGCCGGCAAAAAGAAAAGAAATGAAAACAACGGTGTTACGGTTTAAGTTAAGAGATCCCTAAAAGTGCGCAATCTTTGAGTTTTGGTTCGCAAATTGTGATTAATTGAATTAAAGAGACGTTTCTATTGGTCAGTTTGTTCAAAATGGAAGGAATGCATGCTACTGAACGTTTAGCACACTTTAAAGTCCAAAAACCGAAAAAACACATATAACAAAGAAGTCTGACGAGACCTATAACCATTGCAGTCTATGAACTATGGTTACACTTCACGTGCCAGTCATATCGTATGAACAGTGCTGAAGTTCAAATTATCCTTTAAAAAGGTTTCTAACATGGAATCAGGGTATCCGTTATAGCTGTC